GGAAGCAGAGGAAGCCCTGAGCAAATATGTAACAAGTGGATAACCTGAATGAAGGGGTATTGTTGACATGAACACGGCCATTCAAGGACCCCAGTGTCCCAGACCCATAGGAATAGCAGAGCCTTCCCCAGGTCAGGCTCAGGGAAATGGTAAGGCCTTCCCCTGGCTCACATGTGGGTGTTGACAGTGTGTACAGAGAATATGGACTGTAGCTTCCTCTTCCAGGATGTGTACAGCCCGGGAGTGCTCCCCTACACACACAGATTAGTTAACCCTGACTCCTTGTTCGGTTCAGCTGCATATAATAAACACGCTATGTTTCTGGATGGCTGGAGTGTCACCCCAGCATGCACCCCTTTTCTGCATGGGTGCCTGTTTCTTCATTTCCTATTTCCCTGGTTAGGTCAGTCTAACCCCTGCAAGGTTGAGGCACACTGTGCCCTTGGGAATGCGTTTTGATTGCAGCCACTATCTATGATTTCTTGGTGATGTGATGAGCTTGGCTCTGAACTTTATCACCCATTAGATTTTAGGAGACAGAAAATGCTTCCTGCATGAAGATGTTCATTATGTGGCTATTTATAACAGCCCAAACTGGGAACAACCGAAGAACTCAGTGATGAGGGGCAAGACCAAAGAAAGCATGGCTTCAGTACTTGTGCAGCAGTCACAAGTACTGAGTTTGCAAGTCTATTTTCATGAAGTGTGAAATGACTGAAAACGCTGAAGGGAAAGGCAATGCTTCTAACTGCAGAAAGGGTCTTGACTCTGCCTTCAACTAGGAGGGTCCTCTACCCTGCATTCAGCTGTGACTCAGAAGGGGAGCAATTTTAGCAAACCACCAAGCCTCTCAGCTATGTCGCGGAACCCAACAAAGCTTTATCAGTGGTAAAGCTGATGCAGTGATTTCCATTAAAAAAAAAAAAACTCATTTACTGTTGGACTGCAAGCTCATCTTTTAAGAAAATGCATCAGAAGCATTCTAGATTCTATGAAGAAAGGAATTTACAAGCATTTTCAAATCTTATTTAGTGAACACTAAATAAATACATAAATAGAAAATTTTAAAAAACAAGCCAGGGATCTGCCTTATGTCAGTGTTTCCTGTCACAAGTCATATATTGTAAGTTATGAAATCTACTCAGGAAAAGCAAATTGGTTTTATTTTGCAAACTGACTGCACGAGTTCATTAGTGTCAGGAGCCATTTCAGGCTTCCCCTTTCTCACATCTCACAGGGCCTTGAAGTAAAAATCATGAGACAGAAAACTTAAAGTTAGCCAAAACATTACGTGCTGACCGTGGAGACTCGAGCTCTGGAAAGCACCACAGAGTGACTTCATCGCTTGCTGCTTCTCACTAATAGCAGGTGCTCTGGCCACTGACCTTGCAACTGCCCCACTTAGTTGCCTAGCTACCGAGCCCCTCCTTCTCTTTCCTCCTTCCCCCTTCCTCAGTTCCCCCTGCCCGGAGCTCCTCACTGAGGAGTATATAAGACATAAAACTTGCTTCAATAAAGGGGATGCCTTGACAAGGAATACTGCTTTGGCGTCCGTTTCTCTCTCCCCCCCATGTCTTTCAGATAGCGCCTCTTCAAGACCCTGGAGTAACTTAGGACCTGCTGGGCGGGTCACATTAGTATCTGCCTGAGGATCCCAGGCCAAACACAACACTGGTGAAGACGAGGAATGTTTGGCAGGACTGGTGGGTGAAATGTCTTTGCGTACTATGCATTTTCTGGCCTCCATAGAAAAGCTCCTCCACGAGCAGATATGAGAGGAGAAAAAGTGGGAGAATATGGCTGGCTGAACAGTAACCCCCTCCACAAGACACCCACATCCTAATCCATTAAACTGTTTAAAAGGAATTAAGGCTGCAGGATTAGGCTGGGATTCGCTCAGAGGTAAGAGTGCTTTCCTAGCATGTCTGAGTCTATCTCCGTCACTGAAGAAACCACAGTAACAAACAAAAACTAAAGGACGGGAATTAAGAGACAGGCTACCAATCGCCTGAACATAGGCTGAGGACTTTGTTTGGGTTATATGAGTGCTGTCACAAAGACCTTTAAACATTTTATTATTTAAGCAAGGGGTCATGCATCCCAAGCTGGTCTTGAACTTGCTACATAGTCGAAGTTGACCTTGAATTCTAATCTTCTTGTGTCCAACTCTTGAGTGCTGGGATCACAAACATGCGCCACCATTTCAGATTTACATGGGGAGGACTAAAACAAAAAGTATGCTAGGCAAGCACTCTGTCCCCTGCTACATCTCCAGCACACACAGGTGTGTGCACGCATGAGTGCGTGTGGTGTCTGTTCACATGTTTGTATACCCCTGCACATGTGGCCATGAGGGCATGTGAATAGCAGAGGCTAATGTCAGGCAGGTAGTCTTCAATCTCCATCTTCTGTTCTGAGAAAGGGTTTCTGACTGAACTCAGAGCTCTCTGACTCAGCTAGGCTGGACAGGCAGTTATCTGCCGTCTCCATCTCCACAGTTCTGGGGTTACAGACATGCACCACTGTACCCAGCTTTTCATATGAGTACTGGGAAGAAAACTCAGATCTTATCATGCTCATTCAACAAGGACTTTACCAACAGCCATCTCTCCAATACCACCTCAGCCCCAGCCCCAGCCCCAAAAGGATCTTTAAAAGTCAAAGGGGAGAGTCTGAGCAGAAGAAATAAAGGGACCTGCCATGCTGCTGGCCTTGAACTAGAAAGACTACAGGCCAGGAACGGGATTCCAGCAGTGGAGAAAGACAAGGGCATGGGCTGGAACACTGGCCCCGCCAACATTCTCTTCGGCTCTTAGTGGAGGCCGTGCCAGACTTCTGAACTATTAGAATTATAAAATATGTATGTTGTTTCAACACAACTTGGTGGTAAGCCATTTTAGCAAGAGGAAACCAACACAGGGGTGCGAGGGAGAAGACGGGAGAGCAATGGCTGTCTGGATGACTGTGGCTGCTGTGGGACAAGTTCATGCTGCTTTATGAGGTAACCGAGAAACCTCACTTAGGCAAACTGGCACAGGAAAGTTACAGGGTGAGATACCACGGCTGGCTGTGGTGTTTCTCAACCTATGTGAGCTTCTCAGCTATGGTACTATTTGATAAAGTGGATCTCAAATCTACTGGTAGCCTGAGGAGGACCAGCCATGGCCCGGGGACCATCTCAGTGCAGCAACAGCAGGCCCTGCACCGGATGCCAAGGACATGGCAGAGGAAAGAGGACGCTTAGCAGGATGATTCCCACATTCACCCCACACTCCTACAGCACAGCCCAATCTTAGAAAACTAGGATTTAGTTCAGGGTCAGCTGAAAACCAAGGGTGAATGCAAAGCCCACTGAGACTGGAGCCGTGAGAAGAACGACCCTCACTGGGCCTAACTTCTCACCTACAAATACAGAAGCTGGTTGCTTTGATGCACTGTTCTCTACCATGGCAAATGCACTACTAAAAGTGTCATCTACTGATGAAACACGTTTGTGTACTATGAGACTTGAAATGAAGTCCCCCCCCCCTTTTTTTTGTTCGTTTGTTTGTTTTGTTTTTTAAGACAGGGTTTCTCTGTAGCTTTGGAGTCTGTTCTGGAACTAGCTCTTGTAGACCAGGCTGGCCTTGAACTCACAGAGTACTGGGATTAAAGGCGTGTGCCATCACTGCCCAGCCTGAAGCCCCCCACCCAGCCCCGTTTCAATTATATAAAAAATAGGCATAACATTGAAAACCTAACAGATTCAGTCATGTACTGCTCCAGGTGTGTTCCACCTCAGCAGCTCGTGCTCACTGCAGACCCCAGGATCATCTACCTGACAACAGTTTGCATGACTGTGGTTTTTCTGGTTCCTCCCTTCTCTCCTTCTCCCCAAACACTGAGAAGATAAAGCGTGAGAGCATGGAACAGTGGGAGGATGTGGCCTATGTTCTGGCTGCTTCACTTTCTGGATGGTAAAAGTGCATTCGATACATGTGGAGTCTTTACCGAGTTCAATCACATGAAGAGATGTCCTAAGAACCCTCACAAGCTGTTCTGAGCCCAGGATGAGCTTGCTGCTTGGGAAGGTCCTCTCACCTCACAAATGACAGACATAGCCTGTCAACGTGAGTATAGCATTTAAGATCACAATATGCTACAGAAAAGACTACAACTGATCAGATAAACTGTGAGGTGAGGTTCTTTCTGTGATAAACAGGGACAGCAGTATGTACCATGGGGAGGTCCGAGGTGACAGACACATGCACTGAGAGCTGTAAGTGTGGGGACCAACAACCCTTCCATATTAGATAAGTCTATGGAATTTCACAGTAGGAATTTTCAGAAAAACATTTCAGAGCGAAATAGTCTGACATCTTAAAGATTCCATTGACCTGTGTACATACCAACAAAAGTAACAATGTCAAGAGTCGAGTTGCCTTAAGTGATATGCAGAGTTCTGATTGAAAAACATATTGGGTCAACTTACTTCCTCTCCATAATTACATGAGAGACTGGCTAAGTGCATACTACCAAACACATTAAAGAAACATCACTCAAAACTATTAGAAAGGCATATAGAGACTGCATTATCCTCCAACCCCTGCCACACACTAGGCACTGCAGAGGGTACATCAGAGCACTCTGCCACCCATACAAAAAGCCTGACAGGGCGGCGGGGGTGGGGGCCTTTATCACACTTGTTTTACCAGGCAATGGACCTGCAGAATGCCAAAATCTGAAGGCATGGATACACGCCCTGAGCCCTTAATTTCCTCCCAGTTCACTCCAGTTTTGAGAGGTAAATGCATGCTTTGTCTTCTGTTAGCATCCTCTTGCACACCATTTCTTGAACTGGTCTCTAAACCATAGGGAACTACTATGCTTCTGAAAAGGGGGGGGGGGGCACAGAATAAACTCCACACATGGCAGCTAAAGGGCTGGAAAGCAAAGGCAATGGCAAAAGTGGCGTGTGTCCAGTCAGAATTCCCACGGCCACCCACCTCCCGCGCCCTTACCTTGAACGAGGCGTGCTGCTCCATGTGCCGCAGCAGATGTGGCTTCTGGGCTGCCGTGTAGTCGCACACAGTGCACTTGAACTGCTTCCCTGGAAAGAAGTGGAGGATAAGGTGAGCAACACCAGGCTGGCAGCTCGGGCATGTAAAGCGGCCTTGCCAGGTGGAAGAGCAGGTTCTCAGAGGGGCTCAGGAAGGCAACATGACCAGTTGTCAGGAAGTAGCAGCGGGAAGGAGCTCACCACTGAAGGAAGAGATTGGTCAGCCTCACCCAGGCAAGCTCTGAGCAGTAACACAGGAGCACACTTCTATAGGAAGAGGAAAGGTATGCCCAGCCACCTAGAGAGAAGGGCACTGAAAGGAAAAGAGGTGTTTAAGAGAGACAGAGAGATACTGATCAGCAGAATGGGCCACAGTGTGGTCAGAAACATGAAACAGCAGCATCTTCCTTCTGGAACGGGAAGTGTACAGTCTACAGGAAGTTTAGCGCTGTCCTGGAGAAGAGGGATGCCAGAACATTGAGGATCCAGGGCATCTCAATGAAGAGGAGCTCCTGAGCATCAGAGGAGTGTGCAAAAAGATGTTCTACACAAAGAAAGATCACTGTGCAAACCTTCCATGCTGGTGGGAAAGCCAACAGCGTGCCTTCAGAAGTGCCACAGACAACTTCAGAGAAGAGCAATGTTTTAGCAATATATAAATATATACAACAATCAGGTGCACGGGTGCCCATGTGAAAATAAAGAAATAGATACATGGAACACATTCCACTCCTCCTGGAGAGAGTAAACAAAATCTCCATTTGCCATCATACAATTATGTAACCAAACAGAAGTATAACCTTCTTCCTGTAGTAGCAAATGGCTCTAATGGTGCCAGCACTATAGGAACACAGCTACTGCCCCTGAAGCATGGACCCCAAGAAATTCTTGCTCCTCTGGAGACCTCCACAAGACAGGTAAGACTTCTCTGTAGTTGCATCCCCTATATCTCCCTGCTCTCAAACTGGGTAAAGGCACAATTGGCCTTGACACCTGTTCTTACCAAGGTAAACACTAGGATCAGGTCAAAGACAGATGTTGCTTTTGGTTTTACTAGATGATTCTACTACCTGAGATACTTCTGACAGTCTGTGAAAACCTTATTCTCTGGTACTCCATCACCACTACCCTTGTGTGTCTGACCAGTCTCTGAGTTTCTTGGTGACAGTACCCACGTTCATCGTTCTCTATAAACTGATGCCCCACAGTGTTCTCGCCCACACTCTTCTCATTCTGATGCATCACTGCACATGACTGTTTCTACAGTTTTAGCACACATTTGATGCCCAAAGCTACACCTTCTATTCAGACCTCTTCCCACAGCTCAACATTTGAGAAGTTACCTATTGTCTTAGTCACTGTTCTATTGCTGTGAGTGACCCCATGACTAAGGCAAGTTCTATAACGGAAAGCTTTTCATTGGTGCTGGCCTTCAATTTCAGATGTTTAGTCCATTAACATCATAGGGGGAGCATGGTGTTATATAGGCAGACATGGTGCTGGAGAAGTAGCTGAAAATTCTACATCTTGATCCAAAGGCAACAGGAAGAGAGAGCAACACCAGGCATTGGCTTTTGAAGCCTCAAAGCCCACCCCTAGTGACATGCTCCAACTAGACTATACCTAATCCTTTTCAAATAGTTCCAGTCCCTGATGACTAAGTATTCAAAATACATAAATTATCCCTATTCAAATTACCACATTCCATTCCCTGGCCACCACATGCTTGTAGACATATCATAATATAACAATGTATTCACTCCAACTCCGAAAGTCCCCAGAGCCTCTCACATTCTCAAGGTATCTTCAAAGTCCCTTGTGAGACTCAAGGCAATCTAACTATAACTCCCTGTAAAATCAAGATAAAAAAGATCACCTACTTCTAATATACAATGGCACAGGATATATATTACTATTCTAAAAGGGGGTATATAAGCACAGTAAGGAAATACTATAGTGCCAAAGAAATACTCTGAAACCTCTTGAGCTGAGCCATCATAATTTACGTTGCTCTCAGCACCACTGTCTTCCATGTTCCTGCTAGGACAGCCCATTATGCCCCACTTAAAGCATTCAACTGTTTTCTTAAGTCAAAATTCCAAAGTCCACATTCCACCAACAAGCAGCATGGTCAGGCCTGTCATAGCAACACCCCAGTACCTGGTACCAACTTCTGTCTTAGGCACTGTTCTACTGCTATGAAGACGCACCATAACTAAGGCAACTCTTATAAAAGAAAGCATTTAATTGGAGTTTGCTTACAGTTTCAGAAGTATGATCCACTATCCTCATAGCAGGAGCGTGGTGGCATGCAGGCATATATCATGCTGGAGAAGTAGCTGCGAGTTCTACGTCTGGACCCCCAAAGCATCAAGAAGAGAGAGTGATACTGGGCCTGGCATAAGCTTTTGATACCTCAAAGTCTAGCCCCACTGGCCCAATAACACACTTCTTATAACAAGACCTAATCCTTTTCAAATAGTACCACTTCCTGGTGAATAAACATCCAAATACATGAACCTGTGAGAGCAATTCTTATTCAGACTAGCATAACCATCAATTGGACTGGCCACTTACCTGCTCCAAATGTCCTAAGCTGGACTAATTATCATCCTCACCAAGTAGGTTCTACTTCTAAAAATCCCAGCATTACCCATGTCACCCAAGTCTGATGCCTGGTAGTTTCTTCACAACTATGAACATATATGTTGTGGTTTGGATACAAAGTGCCTCCCCCCTCCCCCCACACACACATTCAACCATTTAATCTTCAACTGGTGGTGCTATTTTGGAAGGTTACAGAACATTTGGAAAGTCAGGCTCAGCCATAGGAAAAGGGTTAGACATTGAGGCTTACACCTGGGCTCTACCTCCCTCTAGTCTTTGCTTCCAGATCAACCCAGATGTGATTCTCCTCCCACAGCCACAGGCTACTTCCTCCACCACATCACTCCTTCCACCCACACCTTACAAAACATCAATTTACCCGGGCACGCTTCCCACTCTGCTCACTCTGACTATCTATCTGCTCACAAGCCAGGCAGCTATCAACAGACATGTCTTGTTTATCTTAGTAGCATAGCACTGGGTGTACACATACATAAGCATATTTTGTGAATCTTATTAGGTTGAAATGTCTAAGAGATAAACAAGAAAGCTTTTACATCTTACATAGGCAGCACCCTTGATAAGAGCAGCAAAACCAACAAAAAAAAAATGGTTCAAGAATATTAATGCTTCCAAACTGCCTAGGCTCCCACAAAACCAATAGGTGCAGTAGGATCAAAAACCCATTGCCATTGGAGGTGGGCGGTCCTTGGACTTCCCACAGGGCAGGGAACCCTGAGTGCTCTTTGGGCTGACGAGGGAGGGGGACTTGATTAGGGGAGGGGGAGGGAAAGAGGAGGCGGTGGTGGGGAAGAGACAGAAATCTTTAATTAATTAATAAAAAAAATAAATAAATTTAAAAAAAGAATATTAATACTAGGATTGTACTCTAAATTCTAGATTTTATTCTCCTACCCCGTGTGTGTGTCTGTCTGTCTGTCTTTCAGTCTGTCTGTCTGTCTGTCTTTCAGTCTGTCTGTCACCTCTCTATATCTGTGTATGTCATGTATATCTGGGCTCACATGGAGGATAGAAGAAGAAAGCAGATCAGGCACAGTTGGAACTAGAGTTACAGGCAGTTATAAACCAACTAATGTGGCTGCTGCAAACCAAACAGCTCTTTTAGAAGAGCAGCAAGTGTTTTTAACTTTTGAGCCATGTCTCCACCCTGATTTTACTAAATCTTCAGGGTCAAACTATAGAGATATTTTCACTTGTAAAGTATGCAAGTTACAACTAGAAAATAATGTTTTATTAAATACATTTTCAACTTTTTCTCACATACGGCCGCACAGGTCCACACATCACCAGCATAATCTCAGCCAGGCATACCTTTCGACCAACCTATGACTCATGAGATAACATCGGCACGGCGCCAGCAGCAGAAGAAAATGCTCGGAAAGTGAGGGAGGAGAGGGGATAGAACTGTTCTCAGTATCAAACAACAAGATCAAAGCGTAAAATATTAAGTGTTGCAAGGAAGCCTTGAAGGGCCAGGCAGCTGACTCAGCAGTTAAGAACGTGCACTGCTCTTGCAGGACTAGAGTTTGGTTCCTGCAGACTGATCAGTCGGCTCACAACCACTTGTAATCCTGGCTCCAGGGGATTTGACACTCTCTTCTGGACTGCATCAGCACCATGCACATATGCGCGTGTGCGCACATGCACAAACACACACACATACACACACCATCGGGGATCTCTTGGGCGGATTTCTAGTATTGAGGCTTTTATATGATAGTAATGGCCCATGGAAGAAGCATTGCCAGCTCAAGTGGGATAATTTCATTAACGTGTGTGTGTGTGTGTGTGTGTGTCTGTGTACACTAACTGGTTTTGTATGTCAACTTGGCACAAGCTAGAGGAAGGAGCCTCAGCTGAGGAAATGACTTGATGATATCCAGCTATAAGGCATTTTCTCATTTAGTGACCAATGAAGGAGGGCCCAGACCATGATATGTGGTGCCATCCCTGGGCTGTTGGCCCAGAGTTCTATAACAATGTAGAATGAATAAACCAAAGGAAGCAAGCCAGTAAGCAGCACCCCTCCATGACCTATACATCAGTTCCTGTGTCCAGGATGCTGCCCTGCTTGAGTTCCTGTCCTGATTTCCTTCAGTGATGAACAGCAATGCTGAAGGATAAGACTAATAAATCCTTTTCTCCCCAGCTTGCTTTTTGGTCATGGTGTTTTATCACAGCAACAGAAATCCTCAGACAGTACATATGTACATATACATATACACATAGACTTATATGTATTGTGTGCTGTAATTTTAGGCTTTGTTGTTACTCTTGGTTGCCTCCCAGCATGCTTTAACTATTTTTCTATGGCTGTGATAAAATACCATGACTGATAGCATTTAGTTTGACTTATGGTTTCAGAGGTTTAATGTCCATGATAGTGGAATGAAAGACAGCTGAGACCCTATATCTTGATCAAC